AAAAAAAAAAAAAAAAAAAAGAACTTAACTTCTGTAGTGTGCTATTGTCAAAAGCGTAATTTTTAATTACTGCAAATTATTCTATAGCAACTATGATAAATCACCATTTGCTTAACTGTTAATTGCCATTTGAGCTGTCTACAATGTTTTACATTAAAAACGTAAAAATTTCATACACACTGAAACGAAAAGTTCTGAGCTTTAACTTTTTCCTTTGTTGAATTATTTTTTTAAAGTAAGTTTTCATAAGTGGAATTATTAGATCAAAGAACATACCTAAGGACTACTATCAGCCATCGATGCTATCACAACTAGAATTTACTCAATAGGTGATAACCAAAGAAGCTGCTATCCAGTCTAACAAAATATTTTCTTTCTTTAGGAAGACATCGGCAGACGCAGAGAATAATTTCTAGGCTCCATGAATTTGATAATCCCAGTGTAGAGCAAGAGGCAGAACATAACATCAGCAGAAAATATCATTTTCCAATGTCTGACCACAAAGTACCAATGTGGTATTCTGAATTAAATGTGGGGAAAAAAAGATTAGAAAGCACTGTTCTCAGCCAGGCATGGTGGCTCATGCATGCAATCGTAGCACTTTGGGAAGCCAAAGCGGGAGGTATAGCTTGAGGCCAGGTGTTCAGGAGACGAGCCTGAGCAAGAGCAAGACCCCATTCTCAACTAAAAACAGAAATATTAGTGTTGTGGTGCGCGCCTGTAGTCCCAGCTACTCGGGAGGCTGAGGCAGGAGGATCGCTTGAGCCCAGGTGTTTCAGGTTGCAGTGAGCTTTGATGACGTCACTGCACTCTAGCCCAGGGCTACAAAGCAAGACCCCATCTCAAAGGAAAAAAAAAAAAGAAAGCCCTGTTCTCATGTCAACCAAATATTAAAGAAAATATCTAACACAACAAGTTACTCCTATTATTGCTTTCTAAGCAAAATATGGTCAGTGGCTCCTAAAGTGACTATGTCACTTAGAACTTGTAATGTCTTCAGCTTATCTGATCATTTAGACTACTGACTGCACGTCATAAATCTACATCTCTGCCCTGGATCTCTAGTCTCCTCAGGCTCCCTCCAACAAAGACTACTTATTATTTGCTTTGCTTTATTTTATGCTTTACATACATGACATCCTTTTAGCCTCAAAATAAACCTATGATGAATACAATGATCAACCCCATTTTACGCCCAAAAACACCGATGTTACAGAAGTTCAGTAACTTGTCCAGAGCTAGTAAGATGTAGAGCTGAAATATAAAGCCAGATCTAACATCAAAGTCTGTGCTCTCAATCACTAAGCTGCTCTAAGCCCAATGTGCAAATATTAAGCTATAATTTCTCTGCAAAATAAAGCAAACACCTACTATGATCCCATTGTCCCCATCACATACCCACTCAATTTATCAATGTTAGATTTTATTCTGCTCTATGCCTCAATTCAAATGGCATCTCATTCATTAAACCTTCCTTGATGTCCCCCAACTGGATTTAATTTACCCTCACTATGTTACCATGACACTTTGTCTTCTAGGCCCCTGTCATAAAGCTGGGACACTGATTCTATGAATGTCCTTTTTCAACAGTACAGTTACAGATACCATGGTAGTCAGGAAGATTGACATAATCATAAGGAGAAAATACGGAAAACTTTTTCCTGAGTAGTTTCACTAGAACAGTGCTTCCCAAAGCTACCGTTTCATAACAATTATCTGAGATTCTTTTTTCTTTACCCTGGCACAGTAACTGAGATTCTTATTATAGACAAAAGTTACTGGACAAAACCTCAAATCCAATGTGTCAGACTCGACTCTCTGACAGACAAAATTATTACTACTTTTAACAAGTGTGCCAAGCGATAATTAGGTGTAAGTTTGGGCAATAGTATACTAGATGATCCCAGTCAGGCTGTTCTCATTCTTTAGCCTCACATTTATATAAAGGGAACAGTAAGAGGCTTAATTTCTTTTAAGTTAGAGTATTGAGAATACACTAGTTGGCATAAAAATACTGTTCAACATAAAAGAGATGTAGATTTATGTTCAGGTGTAATATTTAGTTAATATCTAGCAAATAAACTACAGAGTATACATTGCTTTTCTCACTTCAGACAGGCAATGATAAAGTAGGACAAGAGAAAGATTTCAGAAATAGAACCGAACTAGAAAGTCCCAAATCTCAACTCTCTACTAACATCACACCTTGATTCCTCTCAGGAGAGCAAGTCCGTAAGGAGTAATAGTTATGCCACTGTCATCACAACAGAGGCACATCTACACAGTAAGAAGTGCAGTTCCACCCTACCAATGCTCAGGAGGCTAAAACATCAGAAGCCTTTCTGAAGTTTCTGATGCTTAGTGTCAAGTTTAGAAAACAGAACATTTCAGAGCTTCCCTGGACAAAGGTAAAACCTACTGTTCCAAAAATCACACATAGACACTTACCTGTGGCACAACATCCTGTAGAAAAGTCACAACACTTTCCATGTAAGACTGCTCTCTGGAAAAGGGTGAAATGGATAAAATTTATCATGAGACCTTAACACAGACCATGAAAAAACTCTTTACAAGCCTTAATAAAGTCACCAATAATATTAAAACAAGAAAAAAAGGTCAGATGGCTAGGAGGGAGGGGGAAAAAAACTCTTATCACCTGGTAATTCTGCTAAACCATTTTCTGGTTTCATGAGTCTTTGTATATATTATCAAAGGTTACTGAGCTTTTAACATTTTTAAACATTATCTCATTTTTTTGTTTTTTGTTATTGTGTCCTTAGTTTTCTTGTTTTTTGTTTTCTTTTTGAGACAAGGTCTTGTTCTATTGTCCAGGCTAGATAGCAGTGGTGTCATCATTGCTCACTGCAATCTCAAACTACTGGGCTCAAATGATCCTCCCACCTTAGCCTCCCAAAGTGCTGGGGTTACAGGCATGAGCCACTGTGCCCGGCCTTTTAAACACTATCTCTCTCTCTCTTTTTTTTTTTTTTTTTTTTTTTTTGAGACAGAGTCTCACTCTGTTGCCCTGGCTAGAGTGAGTGCCGTGGCGTCATCCTAGCTCACAGCAACCTCAAACTCCTGGGCTTAAGCGATCCTCCTGCCTCAGCCTCCCGAGTAGCTGGGACTACAGGCATGTGCCACCATGCCCGGCTAATTTTTTCTATATATTTTTAGTTGTCCAATTAATTTCTTTCTATTTTTAGTAGAGACGGGATCTCGCTCTTGCTCAGGCTGGTCTCGAACTCCTGAGCTCAAACGAACCGCCCGCCTCGGCCTCCCAGAGTGCTGGGATTATAGGCGTGAGTCACCATGCCCGGCCTAAAATTAATATATTTTAAACAGGAAGTATTAATGTATGTATGTCAGCAAGTGGAGAAAAATTTTTGTTTTTTTTTTTTTTTTTGGAGACAGGGTCTTGCACTGTCACCCAGGCTGGAGTGTAGTGGTGCAGTCTTAGCTCACTGCAACCTCAAACTCCTGGGCTCAAGTGGTCTTTCTACCTCAGCCTCCTGAGTACCCGGCACTACAAGGGCATACGACCACACCTGGCTAATTTTTCTAATTTTTGTAGAGATGGGGTCTCACTCTTGCTCAGTCTGGTCTTGAACTCCTGGTCTCAAGTGATTCTCCTGCCTCAGCCTCCCAAAGTACTAGGATTACAGGCATGTGCCACCATGCCTAAGCAAGAATAACAATTTCTTCAAAATACT